ACTGTCTTGCAAGTTAGAAATCAAATTATTCACCTAATTTTAGTCTGTTACATTATATAAGATAAAAAAACTTCAAGCCTAAAACACCAAACCCTGGCTGGGAAGAAGGGGGGGGGGAAATGACAGTGACATGTTTGATTGACAGTTGGCACCAAAGGTCTAGTGAAGTATTTATTTGTTTTTTTATGTCCTTTAGGTTGAGTTTATGTCTTTTGCTTATAAAATGTCACAGAAGTGACTGGGGAGAATATAATTTACATTGCTGGAATTCTTATCAGATAATGATTAATTTGAATATAAACATGCGATAGTTACTAGACAAAAATTTTAGTAATAATTTAGTACAATATTTTTGGTACATGTACAATTACAGCTTTGCCCTTAGGACAGTGTAAGTGCCCAGAGAAACATTAGAAAATTTTAAATATGATGTGCAGATTGACTTGGCAAAATAGAAGGGTTCGCTTTAAATTAAAACATTGTTCAATTGTAAAATGCTTTCTTTTAAATTCAATTCAATTGAATCATTAAATTACGTTTCACTGTATATTAGTATGTAATTTATAATTTAAACTGAGTCTTATTCAAATTTTGTACAAATTATCATTTTATTCAAGTACTTAACTAACTGAACTTTAGTTCACACCAGTAAAATGTTTTTGGCATTATTCACCTATATTTTTTTCTTTTTTATTCCAGCAACATATATTTTATAAAGTATTTGTCAGACAAATAAACTTCATTGTCATATGAAATGAAAACTAAATCAAGATACATAAATTAAAAAAATTTTGTGGTGAATGAAACCCTTTTGTGAAATTCCCTTGAAATCTATTGTGGCAGCCAAAGGGTTACACACATTGAATTTCTATAAATTTTGAAATGTAAAATTTTCAAGCTACATTTTATGTATTTTACATGCAATATTGAAAATTTCCCTCGACTAGTTCTTAAAGAAACACGAACAAGTAAACACCGAATTAAACTTACCGAGAGGATAAGATGAACTGAGCAGTAAAGGCAATAAAAATTATCATAAATGTTGTCCACTCTGGAGCTCCAATCAGTGGAAAACCAAAGAAGATAGCTGTGATGCCATGATTCGAGCACTGTTTCCAACAAACCAATGTAACCAGTTGAATAGAGGCGACGCTACTTGGATAAGACGCAAAGGGCCATGAAATGCTGAATAAAAAAGAACTGGGCAAGAAAATTTTATCATATAAAATACAATATTCTTTGTTTCTGTAATAAACTGTATACACAAAATCCCATTTACCTGCATTACATGCTACTTCTGAATTTAAAAAGAGCTCAATATTTATCAATATTTGAGTCATAGTCCACTAACCAATCTCATATTTCTGTGCTTTAACAAATGAGTTACTGCTTACTCACCTCATTATTATGCCATGCTGAATACCCACTGACAAACACTTGTGAATACTGTAGCTTAATTTCATGATGCAAATTTGAAGAGTTGTTCAAAATATATATATATATATATATATATATATATATATATATATATATATATATATATATACACACACACACACCTCATGATCAGCCGCCTGGCACAGGATTACTACTCACATCAGGGCTCAAAAATAATAATAATAATAATAATAATAATAATAATAATAATAATAATAATAATAATAATAATAATAATAATATCTATTATTATTATTATCATTACAACATATTCTAAAATTAATAGCAAATTAATAAAAATAAAAATAAAATACTGTACTAAAAAAATAATAACAATAACCATAAATAAACACAAAAACGAAAAAATAAATCAAGAGTGAGAAACGATATACAGTACATTATGTAAGTTGTGCTGTCCAAGTAAGGGAAACAATTGAGACCCTGCAATTGTGTGTAAATGAGGCAGAAAGTCAGATCAGCAACCTGGGACTTGGTCATAATTTTCGTGATGCCATATAGCAGCAGGGTCTACCATTAAAGAACACATTATGCTTCCAATATCTTCCCAGGCAGTAGTACCTCCCTGAACAAATTATGGGAAAAAATTTGAAGAAAACAAATTGTTTGGTTTGAGAATGTAGTTTGGTAAAACAACTGAAATGAGTGTGATTGATGTAAATACAAGGATGAGATAATGTGATAACACCGTTGTACCACATTGAAAACATAGCTTCTTGTCTGATCAGCCAAGTTTAGCAACAATGGGTGTGTTAGTAGTACTTGGATGGGTGGCTGCCTGGCCCTAACTAAGAGCACCAGATGCTGCTGGCATAAAGACTCTACTGGAAACAAACCTCTGATGGCTTTGTCAGCTGTCATTGGTCAAATTGACTGAATATCAGTTAAAAAACAAACAGAATTTGCACTGGTACTACTTTGGTAGGGCACAAGCAATCTATGCCCCTCTGCATCAATGCAGATAATATGTTCCCCTGCAAGTGTTCTGCATGCTCCTATCAGTCACATTTGTATGTTATCAGCATACATGTACACAAGTGCTATTGCATAATGTTTGTTGTGATTATTTTTTCTTCAAACTTCCCAAAACCCCTTAATACAATTGTCAATAAATCCTCTCACATGAATTAACTTTATTTTATCACTTTGGATGTGAAATTGGAAGGGAGGAGTATTTGGTGGATGTACTAATAATACCAAAAGACAAATGCTTAAAGTGTGACCCCAGGAAGTTTGTTAGAAATATGAGAGGTAGAAACTCTGCAATGAAGAACTCTGAGAGAATATTTAGTGTTTGGACCAAAGTCAATGATGAGTTTGTTGATGACACAGGAAAAAGCAAGGCCATTAAGGCAGGAATTAAACAGCAAGAAGGTAAGGGAATTTCAAAGCAAGCCATGGCTGATTTGAGAGATTGAGGGGGCATACAATCCTGCCTAATTTTCATGTTACTAGGAAACAACAAGTGCGCACATCACAGTGGCAGGTACTTCTTGGATGAACTTAAAAACATTATCAAGTAAGATGTACACTGTAGTTTCCTATGCAAGTTTGCAATGCACACAAGACAGGCCTACTGTTAATTGCCAAGGGGCAGGGAAGAAAACTATATCAAGGGTACAATGCTTCCAGATCAAATGATATTTTTTGTCTTTAGGGAAAGAAAATATGCTGAATATCAAAGAGTAAAGGTGCCCATTTCTCACTTTTTTCAACTAAATATGTCTCTACTTAGTTTCAATTTCTACCTTGCTTGTTCTTTAGCTTTCTCACTGTATATTGAATGCCAAATCTTTTGTTTTTACATGTATGAGTGTATCTTACAGTGTAAATAACTGACTACGGTTTCATATGGTATCCAAACTTCACTGTAGAACGCTTTAACAAAAGCTGAAATTACTGGTGCTGAATATGTACCACTCCGTTACATATATAACTTACACTACTGAAGTATAATCCGGATAAAAGTCCCGATTTTGTATTTGATTATGTACCCCTACACCTGGTACAATAGTTAACAGGCTAGTGGCTATATAATACTGTATACATTTGGAGCTTTGAAATCAAATATATTATTTTGATTTGCCTTAGTTCCTGTCCTGTCTGCTTTCAAATATATTAATACATGGGTGATAATACAAATTTACGGTGTAGATTCACCATGAACCACTAAAAACCTAACGTAAAGCAAAATTAACGCTAAATGAGGGATAGCAAGGAATAATATCAGTGGAGATGGCATTTTGTAATTGTTGCATAAACTGAAACCATAAATGTTGTGGAATTATTATTACATTACTCAAATGTGGCTTAGAAATACATGAGTGTGTATGTAAAATTTTTGTTCAAAACCACTGGAGAACTCCTAGACACTGCGAGTTTGACATGCTAATCGCCTGCCGGGCAATTAAAAACCGGTAAATTTCTAAGATCTACTCGCCCTTCTGATATTTTGGTCGCCTCGGGCAGCCGGGTGTACGTGAATTTCTAATTTCTATCCTTGGAGACGTGTGTGGCTGCTTTGCTGTATGCCGTCACATCACATGGGAGAACGGAGAGTGCAGTTGGTCGCAGATACAGCTCACTGCCTCGATACATACATTCACTTCCCATACATACACACCCATGCTCAGCATTTTTCTTATTTATAATTTTATATTATATCAACTTTATTTCCAAGCCACATAAGATTACTGTATTGTTATGTTTTTTCCACAACTTTTATAGTTTCATTACGGGTAGCAAAGGCAACATGCCGTCACACAGGGTCCACCTCATCCCCAAGTTATCCCACATCACGGGCGGATCCAGGAAGGTTTGGGGGGAGAGAGAGAGAGAAGTTTAGGGGGAATATAGCGAGCAAAATGAGCCCACCCAGGTGGGGATTTTGGAAGAGCGCTGTAAGCCAGCCAGCCAGCCAGCCAGCCCCCCCCCAGAATTTTTTTTTTAAATCTGACCAATATCACGACATTTTAAGGCCATGAGCACTTGATATTTGGGGATATTCCGAGGTCAATAGTAATTACTGTAATTACTTTTTATGAAAAAAAAAATAAATAAATAAAAAAAATTGCTCGAATATAATACTGTACATACTGCTTTAGAGAAAAGTATTGGAATTTTCTGATAAAAAAAAGGGGGGGTGTTCTGGAATCCAGGACCCCCCCGATCTGCTCTTGCATCATAGTGAGTCAAGCTATTGCTTACACTGAATTTTGACCTAACGCTAAATGAAAAAGGATGTTAAAAATTTTATATCACTAAACCGTATTATAGTTAAATAAATTAATGCTAAACTGCACTTAAAACATATCACTAATATACAGTACTATTATACTCTCGTATAACACAAACCAATATGTTCTATTTTTCTTGTACAGTCTCGTTCAAGATTCTTCAAACACTGCTGGAGACAGCTGGCAACTCAAGGCCGTTTGTTTACTATAGTACATAGTAAAAATTATGAATAAATGTAAAAGTGATCGGTGATTGGTTACTTAGTTCCCCGTTGCTTAATTTAATGGTTGGGCTTTCTTGTTTCATATTATATTATACTACGTACTATAGTAAACAAACAGCCTCGTGTAGCCAGCTGTCTCCAACAGTGTTCGAAGAATCTTGAACGAGACTGTACATAAATACAGTATCATCCTTACCAGTAGAAATGATTCCAAGAACAGCATGAGGATTTTGACTAGGCTCAAGGTCAGTCCAGCCTTTCAAGTAGTAGACAATGAGAACAAAGCCAGTCACTGTCAAGCCCCATGTCAGTCCCATAAAGAGGCGATGGAACTGCAAACAGAGAAGTTGCATCATTTGCTTAATAATCTTTACTGAAATTTTATAAAGCAATAAATACTACCAGCATTTGCCAAATTGACATAAAAAATTCAAAGCAAACAACCCCTCCTCCAATTTTATTAGTACTGCATTACCAAAACAGTTCATTATGTAGAATAATGAAAACATATTTTTTCTATCAATACTTAGTGCTTACATTTCTGTCATTATAAATCAGGTGACAAACTAAAAATTAATTTAAAAAAGATTGCAATTGCATGAAATGCTTACATGGAACCACTGGTCAATATTACAGCAACGATGCCTCAGCCAGGTAGTCTTGTAATAACGTGCAAAAATAATGCCACAAGAGGCAGCACAGATCCAGGCACCAATCATGAAGCAAGCATGGAGTGTCTTGAAGATTTCACTAGAAACCCCAAGAGAATCAAATTTATCCAGGGAAGAACTCCCAAATGATGCAATGCGATTATCATGGTATCGCAGTCCACCTGAAAAGATTTCAGTTAGTTATTTCCTTGTGAGATAGTTTACCCATCTTTGTATTTCTCATCTTCATTCTCAAAAGTGAAGATCACAACTATATACCTAAAGTAATAATCATTCCAAAAATGCACTCCTTTCTTTTACAATTTCCTACTTCAAAAGTTAATACCATGGGTTATTCTTAAAAATTAGTCAGTTATTGAATTTAAGAGTATTTCATGAGCTATCCTGTCGTGAAAACAGAATGTTAACTGCTGGATATAAATCAATAACCTGCAAATGCGGAATATATTTTTATACAAAGTATTTTCTAAAAGATCTGGGATCACTCAACAATTCAGGTCATTTATTACTCAAGGCAGTAAAAATATAATAATATACTAACTTTCCCCTGCAGGACCTGTGGCAAGCATCAAATGGAAGGTATCAGTATCTAGGTCAAAAGTAACGGCTGTAATCTCTGTTAGGGCCTGGCGGATGAATGTGCAGTACACCTTGCCATCTACTTGTAGCGTCTTAATATCACTTAAGCCATATTTGCTCTGAAAATATTTAACGTAATTATATTATGCATCACTGTTTCTGGTACTATAACTAAACTAAAGCAGGATTTATATTAACTTGTTATACACATTATCAAATTTATATTATAAAACTTCTGTATATGTTCACCTTATACATAGACAACCCTATTGCATACTGTACAGTACAGGTGTACTGTAGGGGAAAAAGGTGGATAATCTGATTTTTTTTTTTTTTTTGTACAAGTATCTCCCAATTTATGATCTCCCTATTTACGGTATACTGCTTTAATGGTGGTGATGCATTAAAACCATCCCCCTATTTATGATGTAAACAAATCGCATGAATGATGGTCATCATCCTGCCAACGAAGAATATGGAAGGCATCTTTCATTTCACTCGTCAGCTGCGGCCTACCCACACGCCACCATGCGGTCACCCAGTGCACTACAGTTTCAAGCTTTGTTCCATGGCGATCACACATGGCCATGACCATGTAGGACCTACAGTGTAGGTCAATGATTATTGGTGTTGTTACTTATCATTGGTGTGTGTGTGTGTTTTTTTTTTTTAACCTTACAGTGCGGACATCACTAACGATCACATTGTACCCGTACTCTGTTTTGGGGACTGTGATGTGATGTGATATTTGCTATGTTTTTTTGTTACTGTAAAGTACTTCACCTTGTTGTTGTGAAAATGTGAGCAGTATTGGTTGCTATCATTGTTTTTAAGTTAACATCATTTGCTCTGTTTTTGTGACTGAAGTGGGCAGTGTAACTTCGAAAATATCTGGGAGGGTCACGGCACCAAGGAAAACAGTCTCTGCAGGTGAAGCTTGATACTGTCAAGTGGCAAGAGATTCCACAGAGGCTGTGTGGGAGTCAGTGTGATGTTTCCACTCCACCTTCAAGAATCCCCTTAGCTTTGAAGGGGACATGGAATGACAACCAGGCCTGTTCTTAATGATGTGGCAAGTGTTGTTTAATTGTGTTGTAGGCGAAGTAGTATTGTAGGAATTAGTTTTTTCAGCGATACATGTGGGTGTTGGGCTGGCTGGGAACGTTTCCCATTGAACCCCATGTTATAATGATCCCAATCAACGATATTTCAATTTGCGATAGGTTTTTCAGGAATGTAACTCCTTCGTAAATCAGGGGCTATCTGTACATGCTGATAAAAATATCTTGACAACTGTTTGTAAACAATGACTATCATATAAAAATAGCATTCTGACAATATACATTTAAATATATAAATGATAAAAATCATACATTACTGTATAATGTATGGATGGAAGAACAATATAATTTTTTATCTGTGATGGAATGAAGTAGACATGACAGTGAACGCTTTGAAGGGTAATATGAAAGCTGTGCAGATTAGCAGTGCCCAGCAGCTCAATCTTGTAGCCAGGCAAATGATTTTCATGTCCATGTGCCTGGTACTTGCCCGGCAGACAAGCTAATATTTTAAGAAGTAAATATCCCAAGAATTTTTCAGGTGCTGCCTGATTCCACTTCCCATACATGCTTAATCAGGGAGGTCATTAGTGTAGTACTGTACCAGGATTGGTGACCAATGTCAGGTGTAGGTAATTTACCTTTACATTAAGCCACTGAACTGCCTCTAGTCAGTTGGCCAACTTGTCAACATTTCAAAGGAACCACCAAGGTAAGAGGTTGTAAATGTGAATTGACAGAAGTTATGACCTTAAGACAAGTGTCACTGCTGCTAACACCAGACTATAGAGGTGAGGAGACAGTAATTATGACACCACACGACAAAGGATATTGCCAATGACACCATTTAGACAGACAAGTGATCTGTGAGCTGATACATACAATAAATTTAAATGTTTTAAAGTGTTTATTTAACTTTCCCCATAAAAAAAATCTGGAAAACACATTACCTCCAAAAAGTTTCTGGAAAAAAAAAAGATAAAAGGGGGGGGGGGCATAGAAATTTCAAAATCACATGCCTGATATAAGTTTATGCTTCACATAATCTGCACAGCCTGTTAATATGATTGACAAGTGACCTATATTCCAACAGGTTAGCTAGTACATTTAAGGGTGCCACTGTACTTTTACGTGAATGGGTAATGAAATATAGGTGAATCAAAACAGGCAAGAAGAAAAAATAAGGAGACATAACAGAAAACAAGTGTGAAATTTGAGATCATGTCTGCCACCACATGGGGCTACAGTATCAATATGGGAAATCAGAAATGAATTTATGCTGTAATCCCATTTTCTAACCCATCAAGGTCTGGACAACTCGGATAATGCATCAACAAACCTATAGGTAACTGCTTATGTACTTATTCATAGTATCATTACTCAACTTACTTTAGCAAGTAACTCATTGCTCTTTCCATTATTATAAGCCATGAGGACATCCACTTCACCATTCAGAACTCTGCATGCCATAACACTGTCCGATCCCTGAAAATATAATTTTGGTTTGGTTATATGAAAAATAAAACTACAGTACAGTACTGCATCTATTTAAGACTGAAGATATGATCTATACAGTACATACAATTTTAATAGGATGAGATATATAGAAATATTATAAAATGTCAAAAAGCTAAGCATCTTTGAGATAATATAAATTTAAAAGAGAAAGGAAGCAAGGAGAATGAATTCCAAGAAAATAAAACATTTAAATCATTAAAATACTGTACAGTATAGAATGAATTGCAAGAACCTACTGAAGGCAATGGGAGACTGATAACAAGCAGGGTTGTGAAGAGTTAATATGGGAAGATGTTGTGGGACTGAACTGTGTGGATCAACTGTAGTTTAGTATAAAAGAGTATTCTCCTTGATTAGAAAAGTGTCAGACAATTCTTGGTTAGGATTTAAAAATTATCACCAACAAAAGAAAGACAAGATAGCTGTAAATATCTAAACTGGATATAATTATGAACAGGAACACACAACTACCTGTACAATACTGTATCCTGTAATGAGACCATTGATCTAATACTAGGTTTTTAAGGAAATATATATTTACCCAATAGCCACCTACTAGAGATGGCCATGCTGAGGGAAGAAGGCCAGTGGCCTGTTTATGATCCCTCCATTGTTCTTGATAATATTGTCAAGGGTTACTTTGAAGTGCAGTACTGTCCTTGATACTGTTCTACAGCTTGGGCTGGTAGATTGTTCCATAGGTCTACCACCCCCTGTATGAAAAAGTATTTCCTTATATTCGTTCTGCATGATAACTTGGCAAGCTTGTGCATGTAGTTAGGTCCTCTCACATTGATGGTTTGTGACATCATGAAGAAATGTCCCAGGCTCATGTTCTCCATCCCTTCAGGATTTTAAGTGTTTCAATGATATCTGCCCTATTGTGCCTTGTCTGAAGGGCTGTTAGTCCTAAGTCTATTTGGAAAAATGAGACCATATAGTTCTGAATTAATCTTAATCGCTCTGTGTTGCACTTTTTCTATGGATGCTAGATCTTTCTGCAGGTAGGGGTTTCCTGCCTGTATACAGTAATCCAGACTGGGAAGTACTTAAAGTTTGTACAGTTGAAGGAGCATTTTCCTATCTTGGTATTCAAAGGAATGCTTTATAATTCCCAAATCTCTATTTACTTTCCTTACTGTCTTCAGTTAATGATCTATCACAATACCAAGATCTTTCTCCTAATCGACAGAATCCAGAAATTTTTTTATTATGAGAATGTTTGAGCTTAGTGTTGTTGTATCCTGCATGTAGGACTTTGCATTTCATAATGTTAAAGAGCATTTGTCAGTTTTGAGACCATTTGAACAGCTCAGTCAGGTCCTTTTGCATTGTTGTGACATCATCTTGACTTGCTACCTTCCCAAATATTTTTGTGTTGTCCACAAACTTGACATTGTGGCTTGATATATTTTCATCTATGGGAAGTTATTTATATAGATCACAAACAAGGTGGGTCCAAGGATAGGGCCTTGTGGTACTCCAATGAGAACTTTTTTCCATTCAGAATGTACTCATTTATTACCACTCTTTGTTGCCTGCCTTCGAGCCAATTGTTAATCCACGTCAAAATTTTGCCTGTGATGTCAAGTGCCTGGATCATAATAGTCTAGTCGGGCATGTGGGACTTTATCAAATGCCTTAGAGAAATCCATGTACAACACATCCACTGGTGAGCCATGGTCCCGATACTCTGTTATCGTTTAAAGGAATGTGAGTAAGTTTGTTAAGATAGGATTTTCTTTCCACAAAACCTTGTTGTGGTGCGTTGATACGACAGTGTTCGGTCAGGTGTTGGATGATGGCATCCCTAAAAAATTTCGCAGAGCTTGCATATACGTGATGTTAGGTTGATCAGCCTGTAGTTTTCGGTTCCTACCATTCCTGTATACAAGGGTGATGTTGGCTTATTTCCAGTCCCTTGATCGAAGGATTTCTTGAATAAGAGTCTTAGAACTGCGCAAATCTCATTTGTCACCTCCTTTATTACCTTGGTCTGTACTCCATTCACTCCAGGGACTTTCAATTCATTCAAGCTTATCACTATCCTTTTGATGATATCTATAATTGCTATTTCTCTGAAACCATTTTTCATCCCTGAGGTATACATTCTCTTTGGTATTGGCATGTTATTCATTGCCTCTTATGTGAATACTGATGCAAGATCTTTTTCTTTTACCTTTATCCTCTTTGCCATTGACTGTTAGCCACTTGGGCAGTCGATCACATCGCTGTTATGCACTGTTGGCAAGTACAGTACAGTACTGGGCATGTACTACTGACTACAGAATATATCTGTACCTGTGCCAGCATTGTCAAGTCTGGCTTGAATGAGCTCACACTCGGTGCCATCACAACACTCTCTGGCAGATTGTTCAAAGGGTTTACAGACAATAAAATTTACGTGAAATAACCTAACCCATATTTAGCCTATACTGTACTCATATGCAATTTCATAAAATATGAGTTCCTAGTACAGTATCTGTACTGTAAAACTTTTGTGTATTTAAAATTCCCGAAACTTTCTTTGAAAAGTGGTTGAAGTAGATTTCTCAACTGAATAATCAATAGTGCTTGAAACATGATAATCCCCCCAAAAAAAAATACATAAAGATATTTGCTTTTATAATGTGCACATCTTTTTGCTCTCTGAAACATTCATGATTGTATCCAAATTCAGAAATACTGTAGTCATGAATTAAAACTGGAAAGTTATTTTACAACTAGGTAATCTTAGTACCTGTATACTGTACTTCAAAGTAAAACAAGAAAAGACAATTATTTCTCATAAACAATAACATTTGGAAAAGTGTCTAACATGCCCAATCATGTAATACATACAGATAAATCATAACTTTGTAAATTACTTGTCCCAAAATTCATACATTTACAGAAGATATGAGAGTTGATTTTTCAAAACTGGCATTACAAAGAAACTGTAAATTCCAAAGATTTAAAAAATGGTTAAATTTCACCCAAATTAATACAGTGGTCCCTCGGTTAACGAACTCAATCCGTTCCAGCAGGTTGTTCGTTAACCGAAAAGTTCGTTAACCGAAACCATTGTTTCAATGGGTTTTTGGGTAATTGGTTCCAGCTCACCGAAAATTGCCTAAATTCAACAAAAATGGTAGAAAAGTTCACTTACTTTGATGTGTGTATGTAGAAGGCTCCTGGATGATGATGATGATGTGCATTTGAAGTGGGAGGTGGAGGAGGAGGAGAAGGGAAAAGAGAAGGCATTGGGGTGGAAGGGAAATCACCCCATGGCACCATTTTACCCATAAAATTTTAGTTCTCTTGGTGTATTTCAAGATTATTTTCTTTAAATCAACACTGCACTGCACTATATATTGTCAATATGTAAAATAAATTTCAAAATGACCAATAATTTGCTTGGAAACACAGAAAAAAAGCGTTTAGTTGAAGAGAGTCTCAAGCAAGATGTTACCTCCAGTGAAAACAGAGAGAGACTAACGCCTGTTTGCTGTGTTAAGAGGCTGGATGCCGCGCATTAAACTAGTCACTTTACCTTCAATTATGTTCAATAATTGTTAAAATGACTAAAAAATTGAATACTGTATTAAACTTTTAAAATTACAGTGACCCCTCGTTTAACGAACACCTCGGTTAACGTAATTTCGATTAACGAACTGCCTTCCATAAGGATCTTCAATTCGGTTAACGAAAAAAAATTCGGTTAACGAAGTTCTTACGAACCGACCTCAACATGTTTTCGCTTGCACTGACCGGGCAACCAGCTTTAGTATCAGTCCGCCAATACATTAATCGGTTCTAGGGCTTAAATTCCTTACTATTTTAGTAAATATCAAGAAGTTTATACTATTCAATAATTTTAAAAGTTTAATGTTAATTTTTTAGTCATTTTAACAATTATTGAACATAATTGAAGGTAAAGTGACTAGTTTAATGCGCGGCATCCAGCTCTTCTTAACACAGCAAAAGTTATTGACAATATATAATGCAGTGCAGTGTTGATTTAAAGAAAATAATCTTGAATTACACCAGAGAGCTAAAATTTTATGGGTGAAATGGCACCATGGGGTGACTTCTCTTCCACCCCAATGCCTTCTCTTCTTCCTTCTTCCATCCCCATTCTAAATCCCATCATCATCATCATCCAGGAGCCTTCTACATACACACCTCAAAGTAAGTGAACTTTTCTACCATTTTTGCTGAATTTAGGAAATTTTCGGTGAGCTGGAACCAATTACCCAAAAACCCATTGAAACAATGGTTTCGGTTAACGAACTTTTCGGTTAACAAACGACCTTCTGGAACGGATTGAGTTCGTTAACGGAGGGGTCACTGTATTGAATAGTATAAACTTCTTGATATTTAATAAAATAGTAAGGAATTTAAGCCCTAGAACCGATTAATGTATTGGCGGACTGATACTAAAGCTGGTTGCCCGGCCAGTGCAAGCGAAAACATGTTGAGGTCGGTTCGTAAGAAATTCGTTAACCGAATTTTTGTTCGTTAACCGAATTGAAGATTCTTATAGAAGGCAGTTCGTTAACCGAAATTTCGTTAACCGAGGCGTTCGTTAACCAAGGGATCACTGTACTACAGTATACAATCTCAAATTCCCTTAAACTATTTATTCAAAATTTGTGAACCTTTCATAAAAAAAAGAAAAACCACTGATTTTATAAGCTTCAGTCTACAAAGTGGGCTACAACTGAAAGTTGATGCATAATTAAGGCCTTTAGTAAGTACGGGTGTCCTTAGTCATCATCATTAACTCCAAATTTAATTGAATCTTTCCTCTGGGTACATACTATCAAAGAAGTACAGCATCTACGCACATTTCATGTGAAACAACCTGACACCACAGATGATGAATATTGCAAACTACCATATACTGCATAACTTGCTAGTAACATTTCCTGTTTCTTCCATATGTATATTCAGAAGAAAATAGATTGATCTTGGAAACAATGTGTACTGTACTGTGGTTCATATTGCTGGTTACGTTGTGGCAAAGTTGTATTGATCATTCAGGAATTCATCAGATCCAATGTGCACAGATACTTTTTTGATCGTGTGTACCACCTACCTACCAAATAATTTAACACCGCAGTAAATGTAATTTGAGTTATTTTGCAGACTTCATCTTTCTAAATTTAGAATGGTGACCTTGATCTTTCATGATAGCCCATGTACCAAATTTGGTTATTCTGCCTCTAGAAGTATCATTAAACCACTTTTATATTCTTTACTTGACAGCTACTGCCAAAACATTCACCACTGTTGGCAGGAATATAAAGAAGCAATGGGGACGCGAACATCAAAGACTGGAGTTATAGAGAACTCTTTTACCATGTACTGTACCTATACAGGTACAGTACTTTAAAATTGTGAAATCAATATTTATGTGAAAATTAAAGGTCAGCATGCTGCCCTGTGGCACATATGATACATACATTATAATGTATTGCATACAGTATTCCAATTGTAAAATTTTCAAGGTATCAAAACTGACGTTTGCTCAGTTGATATGTGGATAGTAATCTTTAAAATATTCCAACAAAGGAAATCATAATACAGTACAACTTTCCTATGAATCTTTTCACGTTTGAAATCTTTGTGTTAAAATTTTGCAACAGATACTGTAACTAGTACAAGGACAAAAATTAGTAAAAAATCCTCACCATCTTTTCATCATCAGAGAGAGCAGCAGCAACATAACCAGAGTTAATGGTTCCCATGATTTCAAACTTGTATCCAGAAGAAGCTTTAGAGTAGGTCATCATCATGTCGCAGCTGAGAAAAATAAGTAGACATTGAGTGGCAACTAAATATTTTAACACTATTACTGGTAAAACTAGGCAAATCACCTTATGAAAATTATTCTATAATAAAGAAATTTTGCTGTCAATTTTACTAAAGAATTTAAAGTTAAAAATTTACACTACCCTCTAATGATGGAAAAGACATCTAACAAACAAATGTAACTATGAAAAAAAATGTAACTGGTATGAACCTGCTTTGATCAACACCACTATTGTAAAATTTTTCCACCCTTCCTCTTCAAGAGCCCAAGTCCTATTCCTCACTGATACAATACGACAACTTTACTTTTGGCTGACCTTCACCTGGACCTCAACTCTCAAGTCTCACCAATACATCATCTCACCTTGTGTCTCACCTATGTCTCAACTTTCACTGTTCACACCTTGAACCTTATCTCTCATTGTCTCATTGGTACCACATCTTTCATTGCTCCTACCTTGTACCCCATCTATCAGTCTCTTCTTTCACTGTTCCTACCTTGTACATCATCTCTCACCGTGTCTCAATTTACCTCACATCTCAATGTTACCACCTTGTACTTCATCTCTCCCTGTGTCTCATCTTTACCTCATCTCTCACTGTTCTCACCATGTACCCCATCTCTTACAGCCACTTATCTGTTTTTTACCTGAAGCAATAATTGTGCTGTACTGTACTTACTTGTTCTTTCCCTCACAGCCTGCAGGGAAGCCAAAGCATCCTTTTGCTTTCTCACAGTCGTCATAGATGTTTGTCAGGTCACGTTCCATGTTCTGTTCCTCCTAAAATTAATACACGCACAATCTTAGCCTCATTTTTTAATATCTTTTAAAAAAGTGTAGTGGTGCATCCAATATACTTTTTAATTACCGTACTTGATTACTAGCTCTGATTTTTTTTCAACCTTCTAATTTTTCAATAAATAAAATGATAACTGTACTGCTATACTGTACATTAAATAAAAAAAATCAACTCTATACGATACCACTAAATGAATTCAAGTCAAAAGAAAATTAAATCTGCAAAGCAAAGTTGATTGTTTAGTACAGGAGGGGCTGTGGAAGACCAAGTTGAAAATAGTTATACAGGTATAATCTTTTTAACATTTGAGAACGCCATCACCTTAGCTGCTGAATAGGATTAAATAGCAATATTTATGGAGAATAAAATAGCATTTACAAAATAAAATGACTCATAAAAATGAGCAATGTGATATAATATTACTTTAAACTGCTTTATTTCCAATACATCAACAAAGTATTTGTCATTTAAAACATGCAAAAAGTTATTATTGCCTTCACTTTTGTTACAACCAAGTCATATAAACCACAACCACTCCCATGCACATTCAGATTCCCACAACACACTCACCACATCATGCACTTCACCAGGGACAGAGATTTTTACTCCTTAACTATGCTACCCATCTACTTTTTCCTAAGAACACATTCAAATTATCTAAACCAGAAATTATTAATGTAAAGCAATGTTATTAGTTAAAGGCTTTTCATTACAAGTACAATACCTGTGTTGAAACCTGCCACCAGAGGTCACACATGCTGTTTACCATGGAGTCAAGAACACCACCACCACAGTAATGGGAGGAAATAAATTATTGCATGGTTTTTAGATATTACTATGTTCTATATATCTCAAACAGTTTATAGCGCAGCTAATTTAAGCTCTACTAATGAAGAGTTGGAGTATTATTTACTTACACAGTATGAGCTTTAGTATCAAAAGCTTAAAACTACTGTATTACAGTGCATACCATATATGTTAATCAAATACATACAAGTTAGTTGCACAAGTCATTAATCTACAATACAATTCTGGAATCAATCCATCTACTTTAAAATATTACACTGTGTCACCATCAAAAGTTTCGTATGTCGTTTGTTTTATATCTACAGTACTGTACATTATTACAAATAATAATACACTAATATTGAATGTTAACTTCTACTATGCGATTTTTATATTTAAAAGTGTATTTATAATACAATACATTATAACGGAGTCGTGGAAATAACTGAAGGAAGCACTTATCCTGCTATAGAGTACTAACTGGTGGCAGGTCTTGACTAGGTTCTCTAGGTGCATGAGTGGTAGAGGGTTCAGTGGTGGTGGTGGTGGTGGTGGTAGTGGCAGGCGCTGCTGTAGTCCTGAAGCGCCCCAGCAAACCAAACTTCTGTCGTGTTCTCTTGGTGGTCCTCTCTGTAGTACCAACCTTTTCCGGAGGATCTTCAACTGCTCCTGTCTCTTCTTCCTCTGTAACACCTTCGCCCTCACTAGGACCCACTGGGCTAGTTCTACCGCTATCTGCACTACTCTCACTAATGGAACTACCAGGATTAATAGTTGTAGTGAGAGATACTGGGGAAGTGGAAAGTGAAGTTGGGAAGGAAGCAAAAGTGGATGAGGGAGCACTATTATCCTCAGGACCAACCAGACTTATGTCATTCTCAACTACATCTGCACTAGGTGCATCAACCACACTGATGACAACGTCACCCGCATTCTCTGCACCAACTGTGTCCGAATCTGAGCTTACAGAAGGTACGGAACTGGCAGGGGGAAGAGTGGTAGTAGTGGTGGTGGTGGCGGTGGTGGTGGTGGTGGCTGCGGTGGTGGATTCACCAGGAACTCCTCGCTTGGAGACTGTGACCTTTTCTGAGGTGACATCCACCCAAAAGGTTTCCTTGTCACGCACAAATGACCCTCTGAAAATTAAAGAATTCTTGTGAGGAAGAGTGGTATACTGTATAATGTTCACATCTTGAAAAACAAAAGAACATTTAAAGAGATTCAAAGAAAAATGAAAATCTGCTGAACACTTCAACTTTTTACACTGGCAGGCTTTGAACTTGATTAACTACTGAATCTGATTCTTAGGCCAAAACCCATAACTGAAGCTCTGTTTCAGTATCTAGCCATCTACAGTGAATAACAGAGACGACCAGTGCCAGATTTAGACCTGTGGAGGCCCATGGGCAGCCTCTTTGTGGAGGCCCCCCTCATTATAACTACCCAAGAGGGTGGGGTGGCGAGTGAAGCGAGCCTAAACATCTGGGAGTTCTGGGGGGAGCTGTAAGCCCCCCAGGAAAATTTTGAAATTTGAACACTTCTTTGGAGAATTTTGAAGCCATATGCAGTTATATTGAGGAAATTAGAACATTGAGAAATTTTAAATTAACTGTATATTTATTGATAGTGTACAAATTCCCCCCACACACACGCACACAAAAGTGAGACATGACTGGAGTCATTCATGTGGTTTCAAGTCGACCAGCCCTGATATAGCTACTACTGCACATGTAAAAAATTGACATAGTTAATGTACTCAAAATACATAAAAATAACTCAACTTACTTGCAGCCAATCAACCTGTAGTATCTTAAAACACAATTATATATGTGAACGTATATTCTAAGAGCACACCCACCCACACTCAAGCACAAGCATCAATCGACTCTCTCTCACTCGCACCCTCACTGTGCATTTGCAAGACATGTTCTAGGAAATGACAACTGCCAAGATCATTCATCACTGAGCGGCGACGATTTCGCTCAACAAGCACACATGACAATTCTCTCTCTCATTTTACATCTGCAAGACATGTTTATGTCTACTCGTGGGAAGTTCACGAATCATGGGCGACGCAAGTCTCCTCTTTAATCGACAGACACATGACAACCGATGTGCAGATACTACAAACCCAACCCCCTCCAACCGACTGCCAACAAACACAGCGCCCTGATGGCATTTGTAATGGAAGTGATAATGAAACAAATATTTTTTTTTAATCTCAATTTTGTTATTCCATGTAGTTCATTTTTAATCAATACAGGTTGACAATCCCTTATCCGAAATCCTTGAAGCCAAAGACATTTCGGATTTTGGAATTTTTCGGTTTTCAGATTTTTTTTTCTTTTCCCACCCGGGTATAGATCACTGACCCACATCGGGGCCTGGAAAAGGGGGAGGGGGAGGGTGAACCACCACCACCACAACAACAATTCATAGGTCTAGGTAGTGATCTATGCCCGGGTGGGCTACCCGTAATTCCATGTTTAAAAATTACACCCCCCAAAAAAAAAACTTTCGGTTTTCGGTGCTTTTCGGTTTTAGGATAAAGGGTTGTCAACCTGTATATGTTTGTGGAATTCTAAATATATTATTAGCAACACAAACAATAGCATTCATTAAAAATATACGGTTCATAGAAAACCAGGTATTCATGAATTTCAAGGAGTAGCTAGCCTAATTTCTATCACTCTTCTTGCTGAACATAGTTTTACGTGATGGAACAGATAAACATGATTTTAAAGAATGAAAATAAAGATAATCCAAATGAATAAACAAATAAATAAAATATTGTAATATGTGGAGGCCCCTGGGCAGCTGCCCACTTTGCCCACTCCTGAATCCGGCCCTGGACGTGACCGACCGCCCAAGCAGCTAACGAGCCGATCAGTGCCGAAGAGGATAAAAGTAAAATTCCAGTAAATAAAAGTTATATCCTTGAGGTGACTCAATTGACTGTATTGTAACAATACATAATTTTCAAAATATTCTAATTATGATAGTTAGCACATTTGATATGCAATACTACATATGAAAATGAGTCCAATGTTATTTTTTTTACTTTTTTTTTTACTTTTATCCTCTTCGCCACTGATCGGCTTGTTAGCCGCTTGGGCGATCGGTCACGTCTCTTTTCATTTATCTTCTTCACCAAAAGATCGGCTCGCCAGCCGCCCGGGCGATCGGTCATGTCTGTCACGCACTGTTGGCAAATACTGGGCATGCACCGGCTCCTGAATGTACCTGAACCCGCTCCAATGTTGGTCAAGTCTTGTCTTGAAAGAGCTCACACTCGGTGCCGTCACAACACTCTCTGGTAGATTGTTCCAAGAGTTCACAACCCTCACTCCGAAAAAGATTGCCCTCACGGTTTTCTGGACTTGCGGCTTCTTCAATCTTGAGCTGTGACCCCTTGTGGGGCGAGCGTCCTCCAACTCCAAGTAAGGACACTCAACTGAGTAGTGCCCCCTGAGATGCTTATACACCTCAACTAGGTCCCCCCTTGCCCGTCTGTAGTATAAGCTAGGCAAGTTCAGGCGCTCCAATCTCTCAGGGTAGCTGACAAGACTGCAGACACTGACATTTTACATTCAAATCCCAAAGTATAACTTAAAGTAGGCTCACTGTATTCACTCCAAGATATGTATGAAAATCAATATGGAGGTGAAACTCAATTCTCTATACTGTATAAAGAAATGGGAAGTAAGACTCAAATAATATCCTACAATAAAGGGACAAGACATAGCCTCAAATTCAGTGAATACAACCTATACCCTATAGTGTCTTAATTTCCAGCAATACAGGTACATTGGCAGTTGTGTAGTTTTGAAGCTGTACTACAAGTTTTTTTAAACGTTGATCATTAATGAACTAGGGAGCACAATATAAGATGTGAAAAATTGGGTATCACTGCCAACTTTGTTACAAGCTTGTAAATACAGTACCTGTTATCGCCGCTGGCTTCAACTACAGTGCTGGCGTTGCCTTTCCCGAACAGACATTAAATCAATCAGCCTGCGACAACGTGCGCCCTACCCCCTGCGACCTGCACAAACATGATGCCCTGATTCTGCCGAGTGTATGGTTTAGAGCAGGGGTTCTCAACCAGGGGGGAATTTCTCCCCTCAGATTTTCAGGAAACTGATACTAATATGGAAAAAATAAAGGATTTTCAGTATTATATGCATATTATTTGGAATGCACTTTTTGAGGCAGACAATCTTGGAAAGGAGGGGGGAATGACATTCTGACATATGGTGAAAGGGGTGCATGGGGCAAACAAGGTTGAGAACCACTGGTTTAGAGGGTGGCGTGGCCGCCTGGCCTCCATGATGCAGATCACCCTCTCGAGTGATGTGAGGACCAGTCCTCTGTGGTAAACACCGACTCCCAATCCTGGCCGAGTTTTTGTGCTGGAACAATTTACACAGTACTATTGTCCCTTGGAACACCATACTGTACTGTTTCGCATTGACCCGCACTTGAAAGTACAGCCAAAGTGATGACATACCCCTCAGTACTGAAATATTGTGGACTAATTATACCTGCTAGTTTCTGCCTTATCTGGAGAAATAAGACAATGCGGAATGAAGTGTAACTAAGATTAATAGAGTTATGAACTTTATATCATGTCACTATGATTAATAATCAATTGCAATCAAGATGAAATCGTCTGACTAACTAATTATGTATCAGATAGATCACGCCTTCTCCTCTGCAGGTTTTGACCACATCAATAAATATTGAATGCGACAAAAGGCGAGTTTCAATCATTCCCTTCGACTTGCCCGTCACCTGAACGTCCTTAACCAAGGCGTTTACAATGCCTTTATATTTATTTTATCACTACTAAAGTAATAGCCTGTTAAAAAACCTACAATAAAGTGCATTGGTTAACTGTCTGCAATACTGTACTTTTGTTCAAATTAAATGGTGTAAAACTGAAGCTACTGTAGTGGACGTCTCCCCTACAAACTGCGTAGCTGCACACCACCTGCTACCGTCTTCCCTAGCAACCAAGCGTATCCGCATTCCAATGCCCGCCGTATCCTAGCAACCGAGCCAAAAGGCCGGCGACTTCTCGGGTTTTCCCAACATGACTCATAGCGGCTGCTGGGTATATAAGCTCTGTCTCTCCCTTGAGATTCTCACTTGAGAACTGAACCTCGGCGAGGTAGGTTCTCTCTGCTCCCGAGGTACCACGTGACCATGTTCACCTGCAACCAGGCGAAGGTCGTTAGACTGTATCCAGTCAAGCGCCCTTCGCGCAAGCAACTCAACCTCCTTGTCCTGAGGAAGTTTTTTGACTCCTCGGGAATCACGGGGGTGACAGGGGTCGTCCGCAGTGACAGCGGTGACCTTATCATCACCTTCGCGGAATGGGGAGAGGCCCAGCAATTAGAAAACATAAGACAAATCAATGGAATCCAGATCCAAGTTGAAGCCTGCCTACAGGACAACTTGGTTTTGGGAGTCATCTCCCACACAGAAATCGAACATCTGGAAAAAGAAGAACTGGCCGAGCTGATCGGAGACCAGCTCTCAATAGTTCGGAAGCTGACCAGTACAGCTGCCCTGGTTGGCTTCCCAAAGAAACTTCCTAGCTCCGTTTTGCTGGGATGGGAGAAGATCCCAGTAAAACCGTACCAGCGAAGACCTACTCGTTGCTACAAATGCCAGAAGTACGGCCATCTGGCGCGGAAGTGTCGTGCTCGGGAGGTGTGTTCAAGCTGCGGGACACCCGGGCACCAGGACACCAACTGCTTGGCGGCCGCCAAGAAGTGCGCAGCTTGTGGTGGCCCTCACTCCTCTTCCGACCGGGAGTGTTCCAAGTGGAGGGAGGAGTGCAGGGTGGCCAAGCTGCGGTCTAAGGAAAAACTGAGCTACAAGGATGCCCTCCTTGTAGTGAAAAATCAAGAAAAGACCAAGCAAGACCAGAACAAGATGACAACAATTAAACCCGATTTCATTACACTATCTTTAACGTCGTTTATAGAAGTGTATGAGAATATTCCAGAAGAAGACCAGGAAGAAGAATGGAAACTGAAAAGCAAAAGAAGAAACAAGAAAAGGAAGAAGTCCAACCAATCAGCTTCGGCCGAAATAGCCTAACGGCGAAGTGGCCAGCAATCCCCAA